CTATAATAACGATAACCGTATTCACAAAACGTATTTTCAGTGATATAAATAGATAGAATCGAAAGCATATAGTCCGATAACGGTCAATCTGATAACTCCGATAAGCTCCTATAACTCRTAGACATACCCCATACTGATWAATTCAGACAATCACAAGATTRCAATTATAATCATTATTCATTATTTTTGTAAGTTTTGTTTTCAAATTCATTAAAACAAAATTGTTTGATCAAAAAAACAGGACAAAAAGCATCCTGAATAAAGTTTGTCAGGACAACAGGACACAACGCTGAATTAAAGGACAATCCTGTAAAAAACAGGACGTATGGTCACCCTAATTTAGTTAGTAGTTTGGTACACACTTCTCGAATCCGTAGTGCACACTTTCAATTTCGGATTAGGTACACACTTTGTGTCGGGGTTCACTAAAAAATAGGGCCTGACCTAGGTATAGGTATATATTAGGCGTGTCTAGACCTTTGACGCAGAGGGTGCAACCTGGTGCGTACCCAAGGGGCTAATGGGCCCTAGTCCCCTTTTTTGAATAATTTTTCTTAATAACTCATGGTGCCACTTGAAATTGCAGAGGGTGCAGGTGCATACGCTACACCTCCCGTGGACACGCCTATGTAGTTATCTTATCTTTATACCTAGCTCACATTACGAGAAAATTGATTTCGTGGTGTTATTGACATTTTCAGTGTCATGCGCCCGTAAATTTTACACACAGATATCTATACTATACTAACATACTAATATGCTAATATGTATACAGGAACGGCGCTAGAATTTGCGGGGCCCCGGGAAAAATAAATAGCAGTCACATTACATTTTATCCAAACTAACTAATCTCTGAACAGTATAAAATATCATTTAAGAACTGCGGGTCTTGATTATAATTTTAAAATCGCGAGGCCCGGGGCAACTGCTCCGATTCCCCCCCCCAACCCCCGTGCCGTCACTGTATGTACCTATATACTTCTGTCTTCTATATAAAAATTTGTGATTTTACATTACGATTACGATAGTTTATCAAAACGCATGCCAAAGAATTAACAAATACGTCAAATTCATGGATTTACTTCTATGTTTTTTAAATACTTGTATTAAATATTATATAATATTAATTTACGCAGTTGCATGAATGCATAAAATATTTATATAATTTTTTTTTTTATTTTTTACAAAATTTGCCACCCTTGGCCCGGGCCTCACGGGCCTAGGTGTAAATACGGCCCTGTAGGCAGCTTGTACCTATTTATATATGATATTTCATAAAATATTAAATACATAATAAAAATATTACATGACAATAAAATAATTTTTATGTTGAGTGGTTGGATAATTATTATAAGATCATGTGAGAAAAGTTTAAATTAATAACTTTGGCACCAATGGTTGTAGCCAGTAATGTCACAAAATTAATAAAATAACAATCTATGTAGCATCATGACGTATTACGTGTATAATAGGTTCTGGCGGATAATTTAATTTATTCCATGGTAACCAGCTCACAATGTATTTATTCGTCGATTGTATTGTGAAAATTAAAAATTTTTATAATTCGAGCCAATTTAATATGCGGTATTCCAGTATACTCGTATTATGACGTATTCATTAAGCCAGCGTTTGAACTAAATATAAACGGAAGAACAGATTGATCTACACGAAAACCAGGTAACAAAATATTATAAGCAACATATAATCTAGATAAATATTAGGTATAGACTGAATACGATATATAAAAACGCTAAAACGCTAAATAGGTATTATATGTTTATAATATAATTATTATTAATGATAGGGTACTGTTATGAACGCCACCGCGTACGCCTGTGATGTCCCGTTATATTTTATATTGTGTCTCCGGTTGTATCCGAAGACGACAATTTGTTGAAACCGTTCTCTGTGTAGTGGGTGATATTGTGATAATCAAATGTTATTAAATAATTTATTAATAAAAGAACACACGTTTTAGATTTAAATGATGATTGATATTATATACTTTATTAGTTTTTAAATTGACATGTAATTTATACTATAAGCAAGCACACTACTTAGCTCGAATGAGTCGAGTTTCAGACTAAACTGCCGACAGGACTGATACTATCGTCTTGTCGCGCAAAAGCAAAATAACTAAGATAAGACGCCTACTACATACAGGCGTTATTATATTCTGTAAAACAAACGTCTCTATATAGTCTATAGTGTGGGCATATAACAGTACGCTGGGAGACTTTTCTCGGTATCCGTGACAGGTATCAATTATTATTTTTAATTTTTGCAATATTATACTTCTTTTATTTTATATCCCTATATGGCCTTATTGGATATCGAATTAATAATAGGTAATCTCTAGGGTTTCTTTCTATTTACCGAAAAAAAATAAAAATCTAAGTAAGAATTTAATTGGACAATATGGTTTGTAGTCACATTTTACCATTGATTTTTACATCATTAGGTACCAGTCTACATATTAATTATTATTTATTATTGTATTTTTTTTTTTTAACAGGATAATG